CGACCCGCACATTTTGTGGCCTCCCTGTTAGAAAGTCTCAAGTGTCCAAGTTTTTGTGTAAGCTGCTGGGGAATGATTGTGTTGAATGCTGAGCTGAAGTCTAGGAATAGCACTTGCACGTAAGAGTTCTTTGAAGCTGGAAGATACCACTTCACTTTATCTTTCCTAAGATGGCATCTTCCCGCTTCTGATTTGTTGAACACACCTGAGCCAGGTAATCAGCAGCAGGTCAGGCAGGGATAGTTGGAAAACAAGCAGGACAGCAGCCCTCAAGGACTGGAATTGGCCACCCCTGATCTAGGTGGGTGAGGGCAGGATGGAGAACAGCAGTAATTGCATCCTTTGTGGACCTGTTTGACCTGTATGCAAACTGAAATGGGTCATGGGAGGGAGAAAGGATCGACTTGACGTTCTGCATGACCAGCTACTCGAAGCACTTTATAATAATTGAAGTCAGTGCTATAGGCCGATAGTCATTGTAACTGGTTGGGTGGGGCTTATTTGGAATTGGAATTATTGTGGCGGCACACGTGGGAGCAACTGCTTGGCTCAGAGAGATGTTAAAGATGTCTGTGAGGACATAATTGAGCTTCTCTTCCTTTAAAACAGTGGTCCCCAACCCCCGGGCTGCGGACTGGTACCGGTCCGTGGATCAATTGGTACCGGGCCGCACAAGAAATCATTAATTATTTCCGTTTTATTTATTATCTGAGTCTGAACGATCTTTTATTTTGAAAAATGACCGCATTCTCTCGGTTACATCTCGGTCACTTGAGCGCCAAAACTGGCTTACTTGTGCGACATATTCAGCCTGCTCAATGAACTCAATCTGTCACTTCAGGGGAAAATGACAACTGTCTTCAAGTTGGCAGATAAAGTAGCTGCATTTAAAGCCAAACTGGATTTGTGGGGACGGCGCGTCAACAGAGGCATTTTGGACATGTTTCAAACATTAGCTGGGATTTTGGGTGAGACTGAGCCTGAGCCTTCATTCTCCCAGCTGGCGCAAGATCACCTGTATTTGCTTTTAAAAGAGTTCGAGCGCTACTTCCCAACCACAAAGGACCCACGAACTGCCAAGGAATGGATCCGCAACCCATTTGTCAACAAACCAGGTGAATCCAGCAGGTCTGTGCAAGAAGAAGATCAACTGCTGGAGATCACAAATGACGGCGGCCTTATAAGTATGTTCGAGACAACAACTCTGTCGGTGTTCTGGATTAAAGTCATGACAGAATACCCTGAGATCACAGCACTGAAAACCCTGTTGCCATTTCCGACATCCTATCTGTGTGAAGCGGGTTTTTCTGCAGTGACAGCAACCAAAACAAAACAACGGAGTAGACTGAACATAAGCAACACACTTCGGGTGTCATTGTCTCCTGTTACCCCCAGATGGGACGGTCTCGTTGCAGAGAAACGAGCTCAGGGCTCCCATTGATTTAGCGATATAGGGAGTTAAAGTTTTCAACACAGTGGATTCAGGTTTATTATTATATTAACAATATAAACAATCTACGTACCCCCCCGGGCAGCGGTAAGATTGTCAAGCGTTGACCGGTCCGCAATGATAAAAAGGTTGGGGACCACTGCTTTAAAACATGACAAGGTATGTTATCCGGTCCAGCTGCCTTGCATGGGTTAATCCTGGAGAGGGTTTTCTTCACGCTGTCTACGGACAGACACACAGCCTGCTTGCCCAGAGGGTGGTCTTCTGTGCTGGTGTGTTCTGTGTTTCAAAGCGGCCAAAGGGGTCATTGAGGCTGTTCAGCAGAGCGATGTCACTATCACAGCTCCGAGGTGGTGGTTTATAGCCTGTGAGGGTTTGGATGCCCGCCAAAGACTCTGCGCATCTCTGGTGTTGCTGAAGTGTTCTGATATTCTCCTTCTGTATTGGCGTTTTGCCTTCCTGATTCCATGGGAAAGTGGGAGGTCAGAAAACACAGTTGAGAACCTTGGAACAAGAAAGCCAACTGAGGAAAGCAAAGCTTTGATACTCCCAAACCAAATAAAAGATGAAGACAACAAAGCATTAGGTATTGGGTATCTAGTTGAGGAAGATACACTCTACATGATGACCTCAATCAACTTTTCAAAGAGGAGAGGAAAGATGCGGACAGGCCAGGACCTGTGACGAGAAGAGGTGAGACCAAAGACACCAAACCCAGTGACCAGAAGAGAACTGTTGAGCCAAGTAGCGGGGCTCTATGACCCAATAGGCCTAGTCACACCTGCCAAGCAGAAAGGAACCATTATTGTCAGGAAAGCCTTTCAGGAAGCTGTGAAAGGACTGGCCAGTTGATTGGCATGGAAAACCATGGGGAATTACATTCTCAGATGGGAGTGACAAGTCATACGGAGCAGTGATGTATCTCAGGTGGGAGACACATAGAGGCACAGATGTAAGATTAGCTGAGTCCAAGACAAAGGTAACACCGCTAGACCAAAAAAGTGATGCAGTCAAAGCTGAGATTTGTGGTGCGGTTTTTGCAGCCAGACTTAGGAAACACTTTGAGAAGTATGGCAGCATGGAGGTTGAGCAGTGGTTTCACCTAGTGGACAGTCGGACAGTGCTGGGAGCAATTCGGTGAGATAGCGATGGCTACCAGACCTTTTTCGCCAACAGAGTTGGAGAGATCCAAAAGGCTGGGCCAGTTGAAGACTGGTAGTGGATTCCAGGCAATCTCAACATTGCTGATATTGTCACAAGAGGAGCAGCACCTAAAGACCTTAGGGAGGACACTGCATGGCAAAGAGGACCAGAAGTCCTGAGATGGCCAGTTGAGAAGTGGCCAATAAAGTCTGTAAGTGAGGTTGTAGCTGATGCCAGAGAAAATATCAATCGGCTCCAAAGCAAGGCATTTTTATACATAGGGACAAGAGCTCAGGTGAAAGGAGGCTTGGAGTTTACTTTGAAAAATAATTCCATAGCAAAGAACCCTGAGGTACTGAGCAGAGTTGACACTGAACCAATACTTTCTACAGAGTGCCCTGAACTTGAGCTAGTCCAGAGAAGGCTGGCAGGCTATGCAGTCAAGTTCATTGTGGAAGTGAAGAGCTTCAGCAGTTTGTCCAAGTTAACTGGTGTCATTGCATGGCTACGGAGAGCTGCTAAGACATGGCTGGAAGTAAAGAAACAAGTCAGGCAAAGAGGAAGGAAATGTCATCAAGGAAAAGTAAAGTAGCTGCATTAACAGCCAGAGAACGTGAAGATGCTTTTAGGGACATCTTATTAGCAGCCCAAGAGGGTGTAACATTTGCTGACACAACAGTCAATAGGTTGGTTGTGTACAGGGATAAAGACTCTGGACTTCTAGTCTGTGGAGGCAGGATTCAGGTCTTCAGAGACAACAAAACTGTAGTACCCATTCTGCCTTATGAGGCCTGGATATCCTTATTGTTGGCACAAGAAGCTCACTGTGTAAATCATGAGGGAGTAGCAGGAACACTCCTGAGGATGAGAAAGAAGGCCTGGGTGATCAAAGGTCAGAGATTATCCAAAAAGGTAGTAGACAACTGTGTGAGTTGCAGGAAGGCTAGAGCAAAGCAGTGTAAACTAATTATGAGTGATCTGCCCCCAGAGCGGGCTGAGCCAGCAACACCATTTAAGTTTACATCTGTGGACTTATTTGGACCTTATGAGGTGAAGGACGAAGTAAAGAAATGAGTGAAACTCAAAGCTGAAACTCAAAGTCTGGGGGACTGTCTTCTGTTGCATGGCGTCAAGGGCCATACACACTGATGTTGTCAGTGACCAATCAGCTGAGGGATTCCTGCTGGATTACCAGAGGTTCACGGCATTGAGAGGTCACCTAAGGAAGGTGTGGTCTGATCCAGGCTCAAATTTTGTCGGGGCTAAACCTGCCCTCGTAGAACTCTACAGGTTTTTAAAACTCTTGGAGGAGTCAAGGGTGGATGAGAAAGCAGCTAAACATGGTACTGAGTGGTCTTGGAAGATTCATCCTGCTGATTCACCTCACAGGAATGGAGCAGCTGAAGCAGCTGTTTGAATAGTGAAGCAAGCACTGCACAACCTAGCCGGTAACAACACTTTCACATGGAGTGAATTTCAGACTTTCCTTTACATGGTAGCCAGTCTGGCCAATGAAAGACCCATTGATGCTAGGACACAAAGTCGAGAGGACTGTGTGGAATACATTAGTCCAAATTCACTCCTGTTAGGACGAGCTGGGCCCCGAGGGGACCCAGGGGATTTCCAGTTCAAAGAATACCCTTACAAGAGATTACGAGTCATCCAAGCAGAGGTGAGCAAATTCCGCTCCATGGGAACTGAAACTCTCTGTTCCAAGACTGTGCTGTGCTGATGCTGGAAACTGGGTGAGGGGTGATAAGGAACATTTAAAATACAAAACATTGCACTTGCTGCTTTAGTGCACTCAGAAACAGACCTGATCTGTGGTCAACTGTACTCTCTTGGCCAAGAATAAATACTTCATGTTTACAACTGAGCATTGATTGTCTTTATTTCAAATCTCATCATAAGAGAATTTTCATCACACACTTAGGACACAGAGTAACTTTTAATGTCCCAGAGTTTAAATATAAATCCCTGGATGACCATGGACAATTCGGTGCTGCGTGCAAGATGTGCCCCTGCACGGTGCTGACACACTGAGCTCATGCAAAGCTAAGTTAGCTTTAGCTCAGTATTATCATCAGGACAATTGTCAACACTTAAGAGCATGAATCTAGTTTATCCGACAGAATGTTTTAATTAGTCACTTTTGTCATTAGGTTCATAAAAAATTCAGCTGCTCAAGGCTGTAAGTTGCACCATACTGAGATAATGTTTTCACGTTGTGCTGACGATATATGTGATTATACACTAAATTAGCTTGTACTGTTTGTTCTTATAACATATTTTGCCTTTTGACTTGTACTTGTCTCTTGCCTTAAGCAGTGGCAGGGTGTTTGATAAGAGGCCTCTTCAAACTGCTGTGCAGCAACATAGAGGATGCATGAGCAGAGAGGAAGAACACCTGGAGAGGAGACAGCTGGTGCTGCTTCCTGGACCTGTTGGCCAGCACTACTCTGGGGCAGCCTCCACTGTCACCTGTGAGCACACCTGCCCAGCAAGAGCAACACAGTTCAGCTGACACAACACCTGGCCTCCCAGCTTTGACACTGGAGTGAAAACTATACTTGAGTCTTCATGGCATGGACCCAAAGAAAGGCATATACAACAATTTGTATATATTGTATAATATACAACAATATACACCTGACACAGGTGAAGGTGTCAGGTGTTAGCGAGCTTAGCTGACTAGAGGTCTCCTTGTTTTTGCTGCCTGGCTGAAATGGTCCTGATCACTTAAACGAGTGTTATATAAGCATATCAATCAGTTAGATACCCAATTACTCCAAGTAAACACAATGTAAAAAAGACATTACCCGATGTCATTGTGACACATGAAAAATGAGCTGCGCTTGAACAGCTTCACTAAGTCGTTACCTGTCCATCATGTCCTCCTCATGATTAGAAAGGTGGCCAAATCCCTCCTGTACAAAGATAAGATAATCTGGAACTGAGAATTCTAATTTATTTCCTTTTCAAGCAAACTCTCTTCCATTTCAATCCAAGTCTCTCACACGGACAACTATTGTGTCTGACATTCACTATCATGCTGTTGCTTACACATGACTATTGTCAAGGTTGCGCCTCTCTCCCTGTTTCTCTCTCTTCCTCTCTCCCTGCTGGCATCCCAGGAATGTGCCACAGCTGTGGCTAATCTCCATAATCACCACCCGGCCTACATAACCTCCAAGCCTCCACTCATTTACTGCTGGTTTGTTGTTGTGTACATGTCAATATGCGCCAGCTCCTGTTCAATCATCACAAGTAAGACTGCGATTTTTTTGACTGCTATCTCTGCTGAAGTTATTCCTGCTCTGTGGAGTACAGCTCCCTACATCATTTAAGCTGTTGTGCACTTTGCACCTGTTCTGTATTGCTGTAACCATCTCATCTGGATCAGCATCTCTGCAGTTACTCAACTCCTGCTCGCCTCAGCAGTCACCCATCAGCACCTCTCTTTGCTGTCACATCCATCTGGCCAGTCTGTTTGAAGATGCCCACCTCCACTCACCGCTTGACCCAGCAATTTACCTCCTGTTGCTCCTCTTCCTAGCACCTCGCCACTGGGTCAACCTGTTCCCATACAACGGAACTATTCAGCCTGACACTGAGCCAGTATTACCAACCCATATGAGCTGACCCACTGCCTGCCAACCACCATCATCAGTTTCTCTTACACTCCTGTTCAGGTAGATTACATTAAAGCATTTGTTGCTAAACTGACAGTTTGGGTCCTGCGCTCTCTCTCTCTCACCTTCGGGCTAGAGAGGGAACCTAGCAACTATTCTCATTCACACAGACCATTAATCTCTCTTACATAAGCTATTTTTCTGTTTCACATACACCATTAAACTAACTTGCATATTCTATCAATTTATTACATATACAATTTTTCCCTTACATAAAATGTTATGCAAAAATATAATATATGTGCATGCAAGTGTGTGTGTATGAGAATATATGGTGCCATCTGTGAAAGTGTAGGTGCATATAAGAGTATTGTTGTGTGTTAGAGAGAATATTTTGTGTAGGATTGCTGTTCATGTAAGAAGACA